GGGTGAGCGAGGGGGGAGGCCGCGGTCACACGAACAGGTTTCCGCCTGGGACTCAGCTGACGCTTCATCCCCAGCGGCAAACATTTGTAAGCACAACGGGACTCGAGGATTTCCAAAAACCGCACCGTCAGCAGTCTTGTTGACCAAGCTATTGTCAGATAAGCGCCCAGCCGTCCCTCTTCACCCCTCCCATGGTAATTTAAATGACATCAGCCTGTGGCTCTGGAAGGTTCCCAGTGCCCTTGGGGGTGGGGGTGGGTGGCTGACCTATTGCGCGTCCCTCTCGCGCCAGGCCTGGGCTGGTGCCCGGGACTCAGGGTTTAGCTGGGAGGGTGCTTGTTCTTCTGCAAGCACCGGATGGCCCTAGAGGGAGGCGGGGCTGCGCAGGTTAGGACTGAGAAGGTCTGGAAGACGGGGAACGGACTTGGAGAGTGGGAGGCGTGCAGAGGACGGCCGGGTGGAGACAGGCAGCAGCCAGCAGAGAGGGCGGACCTTGGAAAGGCACCGTGTTTCCCAGAGAAGCTGGCCGGGGCCACGGGCGTGGGCGACATCGGGAAGAGAGGGGGGAGGGAGGCCCGGCCCGGGGCTGAACAGGGGGTCAGGGCCTCCGAAAACTGCCTCGGCCCCTAGCGGGCCGGTCGCTTTCCCACGTGGAGGCTTTGGCCAGAGACAGGCGGCTGGATCCGCATGCGGTCGGGAACCGCAGAGTGGTTGCCGTGGAAACAGGCTGAGTTGCGGTGGCAGCTGGGCCCGGCGGGGCCCCCCTCCCGCTCAGGCCGAGGCTGCGGTTCAGTGAAACACTTGGGTGCTGGAGCCCGACAGTGCCGGGGACGGCCCGGGGCAGGACAGCGCTGGCCTCCCCGCCACGCCGGGCCGGCGAGAGAAGGGCTGGCGACTGGGCGCGTCCCGGCCTGCGGGCGCGGTTCTGCAGGTGCACCGCCGCATTTCCCGCGTGCCAGGACGGCTCGGCCGCTCTGCCCTGTGGCAGTGGCTTCAGGGGCAAGGACAAGATCCTGTCCTTGTGCCTGTTGGGCCGGGCGGGTTTGCAGCTTTCACGTTTACTCTTCTTGGGCCATTGATGATGATGGGGGTGAAGTCGCCCCAGTTTGGAAGTGGATGTCCCAAATGTCACCAGCGGATGAGTGGGTGGGCCACACGTGGGCTGTCCGGTGGCTGTCGAAAGGCGGGAAGTGCCGATAGGTGCGCGACGGGGACCGACCTTGAAAACCGGACGCCCGGTGACAGAACCCGGTCACGAAGGCCACGGGCTGAGGACCGCAGGTCTGCGAGGCGTCCAGAACGGCACATGCACGGCCACCGAGAGCGGATTAGCGGTTGCCAGGGGCTGGGCAGGAGGGTGGAGGATGGGCAGTGACTGCCGATGGGCACACGGGTTCCCTTAGGGGTGACGGGAATGTTCTGGAATTAGTTGGGGGTGATGGTTGCACAGCACGAGAGTGTATACTTACAACCACCGAATCGTACACGTTAAAATGGTTATTAGCAGGGTGCATTCTATGACTTTTATCTCAATAAAGGGGAAAAGCGGGAAGGAGAGAAAGAATCACCCCGTTTTCCGGATGAGGCAGCCGAGGCCCAGGCGTGGGGATGAAGGCAGAGGCCTGGCAGGGCCAGGCGGGGCTCTTGCCCGCGTGGACTCCTGTCCTTCTCACGTGCAGCCGGTCACCAGGCCCTTGCAGTGCCTCCGAGACCATCCGTTCCTCTGTCCCCACTGTCTTGTCACCCACTGACCCCCAGGCTCAGGTCCCTCCCCCCCCCCAGAAAAACCCCCAGATTGCCATGGCCAGGCGGGGGCAGCTCCCCAAGGGCGGGGGGCTGGGTGCGCACGCCCAAGACAGCTGGCCCTTGGCCTGGTATCGGGAGCCCTTGGCCACCTCCCGTGACCCCTGAGCCTTGGTCTCACCCGCCAGGCGGGGACTTGGGTGTCGACAGTGGTGACAGTGACATCCCTACCTCCCCTCCCCCACAGTGTCGTTATGGAGACCACAGGCGAGTTTGGAGAACTGAAAAGCGCTGTGCCAACACGAGAGGCGATTATGATGTTTCCTTTGAGAAAGAAACGCCGTGCAGCGGCCCACCCGGCTGGCAGAGTTCGAATCACACTCACGTCCCTGTTCTGCTGAGAACCGTGTTCCCCACTCCCGGGACAGACCGGTCCCCCGTGGGCAGAGCAGCTTGGTGCTCGCTGACGGGGTGCTGCCGGTGGCTGCCCGGGCTTTGGGACGAGAACCGGGACGTGAACTTGATCCGCTCGAGGCCTGGGTCTCCTTCAGACAGGCGACGTGTGGCCTTGGTGGTAGCGCCTCTGCTTTGTGCGGTTCGGCTCGGAGGCACTTAGATGCTAGGAAGAAAGGCACCGTGATGTTTCATTATTTACTCCTGGGCTCAAGCGATCCTCCTGCCTCAGCCTCCCAGTAGCTGGACTACAGGCGTGCGCCACCACGCCCGGCTAATTTTTTATGTATATATTTTTAGTTGGCCAATTAATTTCTTTCTATTTTAGTAGAGACGGGGTCTCCTCTTGCTCAGGCTGGTCTCAAACTCCGACCTCGCGGTGATCCTCCGCCTCGGCCTCCCAGAGTGCCGGGATGACAGGCGTGAGCCGCCGCGCCCGGCCCTCACCCGTGCGTTAGACGGCAGCCTGCCCGAGATCCCGGGTTTAGCTCTGTGCTTGGTCGGTGGCCATCTCATTCTTCCCCGGGCACACGCTTTTGTTTTGTCTCCTACGCATTGATGTGAGTGAGCTTCCTTGCCGGTAATAAATAAATAAATTAGTAGTAACACTAACGATGGACCTTCGTTGTGCCAAGTCGTTGTGTCAATTCCCCACGGCCGCTGCAGCACACGACACACTCAGTGACTCGAGACGCGTGTCAGCTCACCGCCCGGCAGTTCTGGAGGTCATGAGTCTGGCGTGGGTCTGGGGGAGGCTGGTTCTTTCTGGGGGCTCCAGGGAGAATCTGGTTCTGTTCCCTCTGGCTTCCAGGGCCGCCCACACTCCTGGGCTGGTGGCCTCTTCCTCTTCAAAGCCAGCCGCGGCCGGCGGAGCCTTCCTCCCGGTGCGTCTCTCGCGCCTGGCCCTCCTGCCTCCCTCGTCCCCATTAAGGGCCCCTGTGATGTCACTGGGTCCGCCCGGATAATCCAGGATCAGCTCCCCATCCAAGGTC